ATTCATACCATAAAAGTCCTAGAGGAAAACATAGGCAGGAAAATTCAAGTATCCCATGCAGAAATATTTTCACGAATACATGCCCTAGAGCAAGGGATATAAAGGAAAGAATAAACAAATGGGACTACATTAAACTAAAAAGCTTCTGTATGGCTAATAAAAACATCAACAAAATGGAAAGGGAACCAACCATATGGGAAAACGTATTTGCCAACTATACCTCAGACAAGGGTTTGATCTCCAAATTATATAAAGAACTCACATGACTCCACACCAGGAAGACAAACAATCCAATTAAAAAATGGACAAAGGACCTGAAGAGACACTTTTCCAAGGAGGACATACAGAGGGCACTTAGACATGTGAAAAAAATGCTCAACATCACTAGCCCTTAGAGAGAAGCAAATTAAAACCACAATGAAATACCACTCCACGCTGACCAGAATGGCCATCATTAATAAGTCAACAAAAACAAGTGCTGGCGAGGTTGTGGAGAAAAGGGAACCCTAGTGGGAATTGGTGGGAGTGCAGACTGGTGCAGCTACTGTGGAAAACAGTATGGAATTTCCTCAAAAAACCTAAAGATGGAACTGCCTTTCAATACAGTAATCCCACTGCTGGGACTATACCCGAAGAATCCAGAATTACCAATTCAAAAGAACCTATGCACACCAATGTTCATAGCACCATTATTTACAGTAGCTAAATGCTGGATACAGCCTAAGTTCCCATCAGTAAATAAGTGGATTAAGAAACTGTGGTACATTTATACAATGCAATACTATGCAGCAGGAAGAAAGGAACTTCTACCCTTCTAGACAGCATGGATGGAACTAGAGAGCATTATGCTAAGTGAAATAATCCAGGTGGTGAAAGACAAATACCATATGATCTCACTATGAGTGGAACCTAATGAACAGAACAAACAAATGAGCAAACCAGAACTGGAGACTTGGAGATAAAGAACAAACTGACAGTTACTATAGGGGAGGGGGAAGGGGATAAAAGGGGAATGAAGGGCAAGTGGGAAGCAAAGGAACACAGAGAACTCCTAGGCACGGACAATGGGGGGGAATGATTGGGAGTGGGGTAGGTGAGAGCAATAAGGGAAAAAGCGGGACATCTATAACTGAGAAAGAAAAGAAAACAGGAAAGGAAAGGAAGAAAAAAGAAAAGAATAGAAAAGAGAGAAGAGAAGAGAAGAGAAGAGAAGAGAAGAGAAGAGAAGAGAAGAGAAGGAAAAACGAAAAGAAAAGGAAAAAAGAAAAGACAAGACAAGAAAGAGGAGGAGAGGGGGAGGGAAGAAAAAATATACAAAGTTAAAAAAAACATCATTTATACTGAAGTAGTGTCATTGATACATAAAAACAAATCTTGATAAAGAAATAAAAGTGTGACTTCCAGCCAAGATGGAGGCATAGGTAGATACACTGTGCTTCCTCATACAACCAAGATAGGGACAACAACAATTTAGAAATAGAATAACAACCAGAACTGATAGAAAATTGAACTGTATGGAAGTTCGACAACCAAGGAGTTAAAATAGACACACTCATCCAGACTGGTAGGAAGGGCGGAGTCTAGAAGCTGGATGGAGAGGGGTCACGTGGCACAAGCACAAAGAGCATTGGGACCAGGTGTGTAAGAGTGTAGCGGGCATACCCTGGGCGTGTAAGCAGCAGCTGGCAAACCCTGGCCATGGGGTGGCAACCGGCAGACCCAGCGAGGCAGCGATTGTGAAGCAAGGCACTGCGCCCAACCCAGGATTCCAGTGCTGGGAAACAGAGCCTTGGGTCACTGATTGAAAACACCCATGGGGGTTAAGGCACAGGGAGAGACTCTCCGCCTCACGGGAGAGGTTGTTGGAAAGCCCCATGGGGTGCACAAGCCCACCCACATGGGAATCAGCACCAGAAGAGCCCAGTTTGCTTGGGGGAAGTGGCAAAAGGGACTGAAATTGGCAGAGAGTGGAGCAAGTGCCATTGTTCCCTCTCAGACCGTGTCCCCACATACAGCATCACAACCCAGTGGCTGGGGTGCCCCGCCCTGGTGAACACCTAAGGCTCTGTCCCTCATATGTAACAGGTGTGACCAGACCCCCCCCCCAAGAAAAAAGATATGGCTCAAACAGAAGAACAAATGAAAGCCCCAGAACCCATCCTTTTAAGCAACCGAGAGATAGCCAACCTAAAAGATGCACAGTTGAAAACACTGGTGATCAGGATGCTCACAGAATTGGTTGATTTTGGTCACAAATTAAATGAAAAAATGAAGGCTACAATAAGTGAAATGAAGAAAAATACACAGGGAACCAATAGTGATGGAAAGAAAGCTGGGTCTCACATCAATGGAGTGGACCAGAAGGAAGAAAGAAACAATAACACAGAAAAGAATGAAGAAATAAGAATTCAAAAAAATGAGGAGTGGCTTAGGATCCTCTGGGACACCTTTAAACATTCCGACATCCCAATTATAAGGGTACCGGAAGGAGAAGAGGAAGAGCAACAAGTGGAAAACTTATTTGAACAAATAATAAAGGAGAACTCCCCTAATCTGGCAAAGGAAATAGACTTCCAGGAAGTCCAGGAAGCTCAGAGAGTCCCAAAGAAGTTGGACCCAAGGAGGAACACACCAAGGCACATCATAATTACATTAGCCAAGGTAAAAATGAAGGAGAGAATCCTAGAAGCAGCAAGAGATAAGGAGACAGTAACCTACAAAGGAGTTCCCATCAGACTGTCAGCTGATTTCTCAAAAGAGACCTTGCAGGCAAGAAGGGGCTGGAATTATTCCAAGTCATGAAAGGCAAGGACCTACATCCAAGATGACTCTATCCAACAAAGCTTTCATTTAGAATGGAAGGGCAGAGAAAGTGCTCCCCAGATAAGGTCAAGTTAAAGGAATTCATCATCACCAAGCCCTTATTATATGAAATGTTAAAGGGGCTTCTCCAAGAAAAAAAAGATAAAAAATGTATACAGTAAAATGACAGCAAGCTCACAGTTATTAACAACCACACCTAAAACAAAAACAAACTAAGCAAACAACTAGAACAGGAACAGAACCATAGAAATGGAGAACACATGGAGGGTTATCAACAGGGGAGTGGGAGGAGGAGAGAGGGGTAAAAGGTATGGAGAATAAGTAGCATAGATGGTAGGTAGAAAATAGACAGGGGAAGGGCAAGAATAGTATGGGGAATGTAGAAACTAAAGAACTTATGACACATGGACATGAACTGGAGGGGGCGAATGTGGGTGAGGGAGGGTGTGCAGGGTGGAGGGGCATGGGAGTAATGGAACAGCTGTAATAGCATAATCAATAAAATATTTTAAAAAGAGAATTGCTTATTTAATAAGGCACTAAATAACAAGATACAGGTCCAATAGCTCTTAATTTTGAAGTAGTGATGATTGTAAAATAAACTTGAGATATGCAATAACAACCAACACAATTTATAGTTCCATTAGCACCTCTAAAGAACATCAGACTTGGAATCAAGGGGGGAAATAATTGAACCAGTTAATTGTTTCCCCTGACAGAGCTATAGAATTGAAAAGCAGGCACAAGACCCTTCTTTTCAGTGAGACTGAAGATTTGCAAAATGGATTGCAGCCCAATGCTTTTAGCATGTCTATGTAAAGTTGGCTGTGCCAGCCAAATTACTATCAAGTATCAGTAGAGTGGGGCAGGAGGGAACCTAATGATATCTGTTCACCAAGGCAAAGCAAGTTGGGAAGGAGAATGAGAAAATGACACCAAAGTGAGAAAGCACTAAGACATCTAAGGGTATGGCATGCTTTCCCTGTCCCCAACCCATCAGTAAAGGTGATTTGAACAGACTAGCATGGTAAGTCTGGGGCCAGAATCGGAGAGATATTTTCCCCATAACTTCTCCATTGACTATCCCCTCTGTCAGATACCCATCCCCAAGATTGATATTCAAAATATTTGATGAGTGGTAACAAATCAGAAATGTTATCAGCCACAGTACTAGAATATAGCCCTAGATGTCTCCTGCTGCGACAGACATAACTTGTTTCAGTGGCTAGATTGTGGGGAGGTCCCAGAGGTCCTAGAGGCAAGATTAAGACAGTGTTTCTTCATCAAGTGGTATAGAGGATATGAATGAAAGATTGAGCATGTCATTAATGCTTGCATGCATGGTACATCTCACTGATTTCACAGGTGGGAATTTCTCCTCTTAACAGAAGATAAAGACCAAAAGAGATTTCAGCATGCCACTCCAAGCAATTTTTTCAAATATACACTCTAGAAAACTGCCTAACTATGAAGGTGGGGCTATTTTTGGGTGAAAATCCTGATCACCACCTTTCCGTCATCTAGGAAGAAGGAAAGAAAGCAAGGAACCTGAGATATGGATCAAAAGGTATTGGTCCATATCTGAACACAGGGGCCTGTTTGTCAAGTAGAGGTCTCTCTCCTTGGACTGGGCACCACCCAAGGATCCTCTTTCTACAGACTCATCTATCAATTCACACCTAAATTAACTCAATTCCTCTTCACCTGAAGTGAACGTCACCAACAGAGAAGGAAATTGGATAATCTAAACCAGGGGTGTCAAACTCATTTTCACCAGGGGCCACATCGGCCTAACAGTTGCCTTCACGGGGCTGAAATAATTTTAGGACTGTATAAATGTATCTATTCCTTAACTAGGGGCAAGGAGCTCAGCACTGCCACCAGGTAGAAACAAGGTGCCGGGCTAGATAAAACAAGGTGGAGGGGTGGATTTGGCCTGCGGGCCTTGTGTTTGCCACCTGTGATCTAGACCCTGAGGCACAGCCTTTACTAGGCAGGAAAAAAACATCCCTGGACCATGCATGGGGCTTCGTGAGCAATATGAGGGGAAGTAAGCCATTTTAACAACAAATACCAATTTTTTATTATATTTCTAAACAAATATTACAATAATTTCTTCTCTTTCATAAAAACATAAATATTTGTAACATACTTTTGGGAAAAGACAAAGGGTAAAAATGAAGAAAAGTGATCAAAACACAAATACTAGGACAAAATAAACATAGCCTAGTTACATGCCAACTTGGCCCTAGTAGCTGCTGCCAGAGTCAGGCCCTCAGTTTCATTAGCAGGAATTGAAAATCTCCTCCAGATTCCACATGTTCAAGGGGGGGATTTTGGTGACTTCAAAGAAGAGCCTGCAAAATGAAGAGGTGTCTGCTCAGTGTAAAATAGGCCAAAGCCAGCAGGCTTCATGGAATAAATGGAACATAAGGCCCTTGGTTCCCTATCTTGCTTTAACCCTGAAACAGAAAGTAAGATTAAAAACCATCTTAATCTTTCTTTTCCCTTAAGTGAAGCTAGTCTGTGCCTCCCCATGACTGAATACAAACCCATCCTCAGCTAGGGCTTGGTACTTGCCGGTGAGAATACTTGGAATGCACAGCCTTGAGCCTATTATCACAAGAACGCAAAGTCAGCAATACATTCAGCTTCTTGACCAAGGGATGAAGATCAGAAGTCTTGTAGCCACTGTAATACTCCAGGGTAGGAGCCTGGAAGAAGCAACATAAATAGTAACTTTTACAAAAGGAAACAGACCCTTCCTCTGTGTCTACTATCCCAAATCCAAACTTCCTATCCATAGTATAGAAAGGGAAGAGAGTCAAACATATCAAAGATTCATATATCACAGACACTAACCAATTATTATAGGAGAATAGTTTCTAGTCACAAACTAGTAGTATGGGTATATCTGTATGTACCTGTTGGATATTAGCCCTGGCCATAGATATTCAGGTAAGCTGAAATCTGCCACCGAAGAAGCCAAGGAACAGGGCTGACTTTATAATTTACTCACTCTCAGTTCAAGAGCCAATGTCCAGGCAAACCTCAGAACAAACAAGGTCCCACCTCAACAGCCAACAGGAATTTAAGGCTGTTCCTCCTCTCTGGTTCTACCAGTTATCATTCCATACATTCATTTTCTCATTTAATTTTAGGATGCCTATTATGTGGTAGAAGCAAAATAGCAGAGTATTTAACAGCAAAGGTTCTGGAGGCAATCTACTTGGGTTTAAATCCCAGTTTAACTCATAGCATGGTCTTGAACTGGTCATTTAACCTTTTGGTCCCTCAGTTTTCCAATCTGCCAAATGGGGATATTACGATAATTACATTATAAGATTAAATGAGTTAATATATACAAAGCTCATGGAACACAGTCTAGCACATACTAAGTGCCCACATAATGCTAGCTAGGATTAATAATACTACCAAGTCCTATATAGGATGCTGAGAATATAAAGATGAGTAAAGCTCCTGTACTTGAGGACTTTGTAGTTTAATGAGGGAGACAGACATGCACACAGAAAATTACAAAATGAGTCAGAAGTCCTATTATGGAAGTGAGCATGGGGCACTGGAGGCAGAGGGCATCAAGACCCATGAATTTTGGCCAGGATAGTCACAGAAAGCTTCATAGAAGGAACAACTAGAATAAGTGTTGAAAGTCAAGTGGCAGCTCCACAGGTAGAAAAAGGAAGATTTATTCTATAATGCAGTGATTTTCTAAAAGTATCATAAATTATTTTCCCAAATACCCTTTTAAAAAATATCTTACCTGGAAGCCCAAACATCTTACCTGGAATTGGGAGTGAGGCTTAAGAAGCCCACCAATTTGAATCCATTTATTTTATAACGGCCTCTGACACTTCTACAGGAATCCCAGGGCTCTACTGAATACTGTTTGAAAACCACTGCCATGGGCAGTCATTGGCATGCTGAGCAGGGGAGTAACATGCACTAACACATTATATTTGATGTGTTAAATAAGATTAATGGTCCCACTGTCATTGCATCAGTTCAGGCCCCAATGCTTCACCTTGACTATTACAAAAACTTACTGGCCAATGTTGCCACTTTTACACTATCATCTAGTATACCTTCCATACTGCTATACCAGTTTTTCCAAAACACACATGTAAGGGTATATCATGCTTCTGCCTAAAAACTTCCAGTGCCTTAGTATAAAATGGGTCTCTCAGCATGACATCAAAGGTCTCTTACAATCTGACCACATCCTGCAATTCTGGCCTCATGTTTCACCATTACCTATTCATATAGCCTCTGCACTATCCATAAGAAATGTCTTATTTACCCCCAATACATCACATTCTTTTACTATTACCTCCACATCTCTTCAATTATTATTCCCACCAGTAGTGGCTCTGGGATTTCTAAGTTGAAAGGTTTATGAGTGGTTGGGAAGAGTATTCTCATTTGCAAGCACACTCTTTCCACTTGGATTGGATGTTACACATAAGTAAAAATTAATAATTTTCTAAAGTTGCTTTCCATAATTTTTCATGAAATTGAGAAAGCAGCAAATATGAGTTTTATTGTACTAGGGAAAGAGACTCTGGGGGCTTTCCTCTTCAGAGAAGAATATATAGTATACCTGTAAGTTCCCTGATATACACATGGACAGATGCTTTCACTACTCCATTCTCTGGGTCAGTGCTTTTCAAACCCTGTTCCAACAAGCTCCCTCAGAGGGTAACCTGGCTGAAGGGACTGCAAGGGAAAGAGGTGGATTGGGGTCAGATAGGAAGTAGGGCTACCCCACCCCTGCTGCAACCAAAATAATTTCATATTAGTCTGTTTTGTAATATCAGACTTCAGGTAAGCTTTCTTTGGAACAAAGGGTATTGTGACTAAGAAAAGTGGAATTAAATACTGCAAAAAATTGCTGTGGAAGCCCTTTAGACAGCCAAGATCCTAAGAAGTCAAGATGTTAAACATTTAATCACTGTGGGTTCACAGCAGTTTTGATACCGAATCTTCCATAGCCTAAATTTACACCTTCCTCCTGAGCTGATCCTGTGCTTCTGAATCCCTACCCTGTATCCCTAGGCAAGTGTTTACCAAGTGTCCGAGATTCTTCATGTAGAGGGCCAGGAGGAAGGAACCAGCAGCTAGCTTGGAAGCCCTTTCCTGGATATAGTCATATTCCTGTAGGGTCATCTCACAGATGAAGCGGGATAGCAGCAATGTATTCATGTTGACATGGAAACACTAAAGGGAGCAAGAAAACCAGTTCAGCAAGCAACTCAGAAAACCAGCACCAAGCAGAAGACCCCCTGCACCCACTCTCTCCAGTTACCTTACCTCAAGCCTAAATGTCTCTCTGGCTAAACAATGGCTCTCCTACCATCATGATTCACACTGAGACACCCACCCCTAAAAGCACAGAATCTTAAGGGGGGTGGATTCTGAAATCAGCAGTGGAATTCACCACTTATAGGGATTTTTAACCAAATTACCAAGTGTGACTGTGGTATTGTCACATCTACTCTTTCTGTAGATGTCATCCTTTCAAGAGCCAAAGCCCTCTAACTGTAACTTTGCACCTGGTTTTACCCTGAGGTATTTCATGCTTCAAAAGAATTCCTTCCCCTTTCTTGTTTGTGTCTTTAAAAACATTATAACCTATAACACACACACACACACACACACACAGAGAAAAAGTACACAACACCCATATGTAGAATACAATCAATAATTATAAAGTGACTTCCCCTGTAACCAATACTCAGGTAAAGGAAGAAAAGTTTACCAGCATCTCCCCCAAACTCTTCACATGTCCCTTCCTGATTTTCTTTTAACTTAATTGAAATAATAAATATAATTATTTATATTAAACTAATATTCAGTTCAGTTTTTGGAAAACTTTAAATATGTTTGAAGCACTTAGCTATAGGAATCTACTGTTTCAACTACAAACATTATAAAATCTAACTATTATTTCCAATAACAATATAACATTCTAATTGACATGTCCTATAAGTAGAAAATATGCAACAGATATCAAATATTTACATTAAAATAATGCAAAATATTTCAGTGTTTGGTGTTTTTGTCACATGTAAAAATGATATTTTAGGTTAAATAAAAATATTATTAAATTTTTTAAAAAAGAATCTTCTCTCCCTCTCTTACTTTGCCCTTGTCTCAAAACTTTATAGGCACATTGTGAAAGCCTCCAATTTTCTTCCTCTTATACTTCATAAAGATTGCCAGTCTAGGAGGGTGGATTGAAGAGGAAATTTCTCTGTCCCCAGTTGTCCCTTTCCCTATCCCTACTACTCAGGCAGGCACTCTGGCTATGGAGGAGACAAACCCAGCAGGGAAAATGGAGATGTGACTCCTCTCTCTTACCACAGAATATCTGCGCAGAAAATGATAGGCGACAGGAATGTTGATATCAAATTCGAGGGTTTTCAGGATGCTGATTTCCATGGCAAGCATCTCATCTCGCTGATAAGCATCATTACAGATGTATAAGAACTCATCCAGACCAGGTGGGCAGGACTCCTACAGGTGGAGAGGAGAGGCAGTCACAGCCAGACCAAGATAGCCCACTTCCCTCTGCTTGGACATGAAAGGCAGAGAGGGAGGGGGGAAGCATAGTAGGCAATAACATTTCTTGGAATAAACCTTCAGGTCAGCTCTGAGAGCCAACTTCTGGTTGATTTGAGTGACCCATCTAAAAAACAAAATGAGAGAAACAGGAGAGATCTGCCTCAAAACTGCACCACTGGAGAAATGATGGGGCCTCTAGGGATGGATTCTTACAGTGTTGGAAGCACATAATATGGCACAAAGACTGGGATCACTGATTTATCTTCTAATGGGTATGAGGCAGGAATGGGGCATCTAAGGCCTGCTCTAAGGGAAGGAAAGAGACCACAAAAATGGGAACTAGAGATAGAAAATAAGTCCTCACTATGTGTCCTAGTCTAAGGAAAAAAAAATAAGAATGCTTAGGATAGTGCTGCACTGGGGTAACAGGCAGTGAGAGAGAAGCAGGCAGGCACAGAGGGAGCCTCAGCCAAGATTGAGGAATACAGAGAGTGGGAAGATGTGCATGATGGCTAGACTGGGAAGATCTAGACCAACCCAATGGTGAGAAGTACCCTATCTGGGAGCACCTTCTCATGTCCAGGCCTCTGCAGACTGAACCTTGGTTTTGGGGAGCAGACTGGGAGGCAGAAAGACCACTGTACCCTTTCTCTAGATGTATCTGCCTACCAACCCCACCCTTGCTCCTAAACTTTTCTGTCTAGTTTCAGATCACAAACTGGACCAACCCTCTGTTTTTTTCGACAATTGATACCCAGAGAGAAAAAGTAACTCAACAACCTAGTGGTAAGACCAGGGCAAGAAACTCTCCCTTTCATTGCTCTACTCACTGGCTCCTTCCTTTCTTTTCTTATACCGTCTCTACACCTCCCCATGTGAAAGTCTTTCTGTACTCAACCCTGTGAGGGGAAGATACCCCTTTTCCAGAACACTTAGTGTAGGCCCTTCATTCTGGCAACCAAAAAAGGCATGTTCCTGGTTCCAAGATTTGCTGAGTAGTGCCCTCTCCTACTCTCCTCCTCCCTCCTGCTCTCTAGGGACCCCAGCTGCTTTTTTAACACCCTTGAGGCTGAGGCATAAAGTACTTGCTCAAAACATAAAAAAAGGCCCTACGTAGGGAAAGGGAGAAGAGGAAGGGAAGGTAGTAGATAGAGAGGGAAGAAGAAGGAAGGAGAGGGAAGGGAAACAAGGAAATGAACCAGGGAGTGACTGAGTGGGTAGTGCAGGAAATGAGCAAGAAAGCAAGGGAAAGCATGAGGGAAGTGGAAGGGAAAGAGGGTCAAAGGAGGCTAGGGAGAAAGGGAGGGAAGGACAATGGAAGGGGGCAAGTGAGAGTAGGTGGGAGGAAATAAGCAAGGAAGCAAGCAAGAGGGGGCTATCAGAGACAGAGCAAAGAGTAAGCAAGAAGGAGGGGGAGCAAGGGATCAACAGGGTAGGGAACAAAGTGAGCCATAGAGGGAAACAATGAGGGAGAGAGCAAGGGAGGGAGAGGGAAGAGTGAGAGAGAGCAAGGGAAGTAGGAGAATAGGGAGTGAGGGTTCTCCACAGGAAAGGAAGGGGCAAAAGAGAAGGGGAGAGAAGGAATTAGCAGAAAAGAGGAGGAAGGAGCCAGAGAAAGGGGAAGCCAAAGAGGGGGAGGGAGCAAGGCACAAGAGAAGCAAGGTGGGGGAGGAAGGGGCAAACAAGAGAGAGAGGGGGAGAGGGAGGCCTGAAGGGGAGAAAGTTAGCAAAGAAAGGGGGGAAGGAAGGGAGGGGCAGTTGATGGGAGGGAGTAGCATAGAGTGTGACTGAGTGAAGGAAGAAGTGAGAGTGGGAAGGTGTCAGGGAAGGAGTCACAGGAATGAGGGATGTAACAAAAATGGGAGGAAGAGAGGGAGGAAAGAAACTAGTGAGCAAGGGAAGGATGGAGCAGGGAATGGAATAAGGGAGCAAGTGAGCAGTTAAGGGAGTGAGTAAGAGGGGAGCCAGAATGGGAAGGAAAACGCCATAGAGGGAGGGAGTCCAGTATAGACTGACTGAGTACACAAAGTAGGGATGGAGGGATCAAGGGATGGATTAATAGGAAGCTGGAGAAAAATTGCTCGAGAGTGAAGGCGTAAGTGAAGTGAGGGCAGAAGTGAAGTGAGGGAAAGGGCAGCAAGAGAGGGAGGGGAAGAAGGATGGAAATGTGGAGCAAAGGAGAGAGGGTTGGGGAAAGGGAGGTAGGTACTGCCAGATGTAGGTGAGGGGTGAATGAGCAAAGGAAGGAGGAAGTGGACAGAACACAGAAACAATCCCACAGTTCTAAAGTTCTTTGAATCCAATAAAAGTGGCTATTACCTCTCTGCTCCTAAACCCTAAGCCAATACAACTAGCTAATCTGAAGGAAAAATGGGAGTTGAACAAGATCATTTAGCAACTAAAGAAGAGGAAAGAATCAGAAAAATTAGATGGATTATGGCTAAGAAGGAAAGTCAGGCTACTTGCTTTTATACTGCCACTTCAAAAATGACATTTCACCTGGACTCACTACCAGGTCATTTTCTCTTAAATATCTCCAGTACCCAGGTTTGGAAATTCTTTCTTTTATATACAGTTCAAGATTCTACTAGATGGAGATGGAGTTGGTGGAAGGATAAAAGGGCTGGGGGCAAAGAATCTTAGACCAAAAGGAAGCTTTAAAAAGAACAAGCCATTGAATTAGGCACATGCTCACATACATGAATCTTAGAGAAAATGGAAGAATCTGGTTGATGCCAGAAAACAAATACAACACTACTGCCCCCCAACATCAGCTTTCCTCCTGGGGAAGACAGACAAAAAATTGGTAGAAATAATTATTTGTATACAGACTGAGGTACAAATATATGCAAACATATATGTGTGTGTAGATATGTATACATATACATGCATATAATGTATATACATACACATATATACATACTCATATACACATGCATAGGCATATGTATGTACATGACTTGGATTAGAAATCTCATTGATTAGTGTTCAGGTTCTATGGACTCAGGCTTACCTCAAATTTTGCTGCAATCATAAAAGCAGTAGAACCAAGGAGTTGGAGTTTGTCTTTCTTGCACATTACCTTCATAAGGTAGTGATCCACCAGCTTCACTGCCAAGTAGAGGGTCTCATGACTCACCTTAAAGGTAATCTGGAGGAATACACAAACAGGGCAAATATCTGCATATTGTCCAGCTTCAAAATCACATCCAGATAAATCTAACAACCTGGTCTGCAGCATTGAGGACAATAGAGCTTTCAAAACTAGCCAACTGAGTTTCTGCTCTGAGTGCTTGAACAACTTTAGGTAGGTGCCTGACTATATCTCCTGTGCCTTTGAGAACCCTGGTATTTTCTATCTCTACACTGAGGTAAGTGATCAGTCTTACAAATCAGAGAGAGAGGCTCTGCCTTCTCTATGAACACCTTGAGGGAACACATCCTCTCTCCTTGATCTCTAATACATACTTAGATTCTTGTTTTCCCCATTTGCTACTACCTTATACAGTGAATTCCCAAAAGAGATCATGTTTATTTAGCTCTGAAATACAGAGATGTGTTTGCTTACTTATTAGTTTATTCATTCATTACTATCTCTTCCCAACTAGTTAAGCCATTAGAATGTATAGATTTGTAACAAGTACCAATAGCACCATTTGGAAGTAAGCTGAGGGGCTGAAGAAGCCAGAATGAGATTAATGAATTAATAGCACAACCCTCCTTTCCTTCTTTTATCTATCCTTGTCTTGCCTTCACCAATTCCAAGAAACAATCTCCTATAAAAGTAGTCCCAGAAGGTGGAGGGATTGAGCAAAAAAGAAAAAGAATCCATGGACATGACAATGGTGTGGTGAATGCTGAGGAGAGGGAGATATAAGAGGACAATGGTAATGGAAAAAAATACAATAAAGATTTTTTTTTAAGTAGCCCCACAGTACTGCTCGCCTATATGGCAGTTTTGTGAAAATTAGAAAAAAGGTACCTTCTCTGGGTGAATGCAGCCCTGAAGGCACACAATGCCTGTATATGAATTAGCAAAAGGTGACCCCATCTCAGGGCATAGTAACCCCACAGCCAGAATGCAGGGCTTGGCAAACAGCATAAGCTGGATTTCAGTACCTGCTTTTTCTTTGGCTGGAGGCAATCTATAGCCGAAGTTTACACTGTATGCATGGGTCCTACCCAATCCTGATACTTTTCCCTCAGAACCCCTTAGGTTCTTAAGAGTATGAAGAAGAATCTAAGAGAAGAATAAAATCTAGAATCCCAACACATCAATCAATGCTTGAACCCTTTCTTTAATGTCTCTACTGAATAGTTGTTCAGTTCCTGTCATAAAACCTCCAAATACAGCTTGATCTCACCTTGAGTAGTTTTAACAGAAAAGTTTTCCTTATGTTGAGTAGTAATCACCCTCCCTGAAAGTTTCACATGTGTCATTGGGACTCCTTTGTATTGGCTACTCTTACTGGCTGGAACCTAGCTGACCACAATGTATGTAGGTCAATAAAAAGCTTTGGAGAAATGGATATTAGCATACATGAATAATTATCAGAAGAAGGTTGAAAATATTGGTTCATCAATAGATACATTAAGTTTCTGAATAACAAAAACACTAATAAGCTGTTCCTGTTGTTCCTGGATTATGGCCTTGGATACTCTCAGAAATCTGCCTTCATTAGTTTCCTATTGTTGCTGTAATAAAGTATTACATGCTAGTGGCTAAAGACAATACAAATTTATTATCTCACAGATCTGGAGTTCAGAAGTTCAAAATAAGACTCACTGGACTAAAAAAAATCAAGGTGTTAGTAGGGATGTGTTTCATTGTGGAAGTTCTAAAGAAGAGTCCTTTTTCTAGCTTCTAGAAGATTCTTGCACTCCTTGGTTTGGGGTCCCTTCCATCTTCAAAGACAACAACGGCCAGCCAAGTCTTTCTCACATTACATCACTTTCTGACTCCCTCTGCTACATTTGAGGATTCCTGTGATTACATTGGGCCCACTTGCATAATCCAGGGTAATTAACTTGTCTTTTTTAATGTTTTATTGATAATATTATTACAGTTATCCCAATTTCCCCCCTTTGCCCCTCTATGCCCCATATTCCCATTCCCTCCAGCAATCCTGGCCCTTAGTTCATGTCCATGAATTATGCATGTCAATTCTTTGGCTTCTCCATTTCCTATACTATTCTTAACATCCCCCTGTCTAGTTTGTACCTACCAATTATGCTTTTTAAACCCTGCATTGTTTCCCCCATTTTTCCCCTTCCCTTCCCAGCTGATTACCCTCCAAATGGTCTCCATACTTATGATTCTGTTACTGTTCTGGTTGTTTGTTCAGTTGTTGTTGTTGTTTTTATAGATTCAATAGTTGATAGATATGTGTTTATTGCCATTTTATTGTTCATAGTTTTAGTCTTCTCCTTTTTCTTAAATAAGTCCCTTTAATATTTCATGTAATAACGGCTTGGTGATGATGAACTCCTTTAGCTTTACCTTGCCTGGGAGGCACTTTATCTACCCTTCCATTCCAAATAATAGCTTTGCTGGATAGACTAATCTTGGTTATAGGTCCTTGCTTTTCATCAATTTGAATACTTCTTGCCAGTTTCTTCTTGGCTGCAAAGCTTCTTTTGAGAAAGCAGCCAGAGGTCTTATAGGAACTCCTTTGTGGATAATTATCTGCTTTTCTCTTGCTGCTTTTAAGATTCTCTCTTTATCCTTAACCTTTGGCATTTTAATTATGATGCATTTTGGTGTGGTCCTCTTTGGGTTAAACTTGTGTGGGACACGCTGTGCTTCCTGGACTTGTATGTCTATTTCCTTTCCCAATTTAGGGGAGTTTTCTTTCATTATTTTTTCAAATAAGTTTTCAAGTTCTTGCTCTTCCTCTTCTCCTTCTGGCATCCCTATGATTCGGATGTTGGCACATTTGGAGATGTCCCAGAGTCTTTTTATACTATCCTCATTTTTTTTTAAATTCTTGTTTATTCTTTCTGTTCTGGTTGAATGTTTACTTCTTCCTTATGTTCCAAATCATTGATTTGAATGCCCACTTCTTTCCCTTCACTTGTTGGTTCCCTGTAGATTTCTCTTTATTTCACTTAATGTAAACTTCAGTTCTTCCTTTATATTGTTGCCATACTCAATGAATTCTTTGGGCATCTTGATCACCAGTATTTTGACTCTGCATCTGATAGGATGGCTATCTCTGTTTCATTTAGTTCTTTTTCTGGGGTTTTGTTCTGTTCTTTCATTTAGGCCATATTTCTTTGTCTCCTCAATTTGGCAGCTTCCCTGTGTTTTTTTCTATATGTTAGGTAGAGTCTAGATCTAAAAGTCTAGATTATTTTAACTAACAATAGAAGAAATAAACTAAAAGTATATGAATAATCACCTTTTACTTGATGGGAAATTAATAGATCAGATTAACCTAAGGGATTGGTTAACTAAATAATGACTATATCTATATAATACAATATTATACAACAGTATAAAAGAATGAAGTAGATCTATATTCAAAAGGAAAGATTACTAAGACTTATTCTTAAGAGAAAAGAGCAAGTCGTAGAGCAATGTACAAAGTATGACCTATGCATATAAGAAAAATATCATAAAACCCACACTCATTAAAAAGCTATATTTTATATGTGCATATATGTATGCATGTGTAGGCCTTTATGTATTACTCATATAATTTAAGATTTTTAAAGAAAGGATAGTCAAATATTAATAAAAGTGATAAGACACACAAAAAGATATCTAAAAGGATACACTCTAAACTACAGTTGCTACTCCTGAGGAATAAGAATAGAGGAAAAGGGTTGTTGATTTTATACAAACACATGCACACACACAAATATATATGAATACACACACATACTATAACATCTGTTCACTTTGTAGTTTTAAAAAGTGTATGGGGCAGAGGGGTTAAGGTGAGATGAAGGGGGTGAAGAATTGCCAGGAGGATTAACTAAACAACAATAATTATGGGTGGTTCCCACATTGCTCTCAGACTTTGATAAGTTAAGCAGAAAAAATAAATTAGCATATAAATTATATAAGAATTAAGCCAAAATTAATTGACATAATGATCTTTGTACCTATAGAGAATACATATTTTCTTCAAACATCAGTGAATCATTCATAAAAACCTATTATGTCTAAAGCCATGAATAAAACCTCATCAACTTAAGAAGAGCAAAAATCATCATTCAGGTCACATTCTTAATATACAATACAATAAATCTAAAAATTGGTAATAAAAGGAAAAAACAAATAACCAATGAAAAGCAAAGCACTTGAAAAAATGATAAGCACTATTCTTTTCTTAAATTTTATTTATTTTCAGAGAGAGAGGAAGGAAGGGAGAAAGAAGGAAAGAAACATCAATGTGTGGTTGCCTTTCATGCACCCCAAACCAGGGACCCAGCCTGCAACATAGGCATGTGCCCTGACTGGGAATTGAACCACCAACCCTTTGGTTCTCAGGATGGCTCTTAATCCACTGAGCCACACCAGCTAGGGAAGCACTATTCTTAAAACAAACAAACAAACAAAAAAAAAACCACCTGGGTCAAAAAGGAAGTAAAAATTGCAATTGCAGTTGATTGTGAAAAAAAGAAGATAATTACGACACTTTCTTTCAAAACTAATGGGATGTACTCAGAATTGGCTACTTAGGAGAAAATGTAAAGCTTTGGAGCTTTTATTATGATGTGAGAAATAATTAAAATAGGCTAACCAATCATTTCAAGAATCTAGAGAAAAACAACAAAATAAATCTAAATAAAAAATAAAGATGAAAGCAGATGTTAGTAAAATTTTTAAAAGAAACACATATACATTTATCCATGAGCTGGTTCTTTGACCACAAGACTGAACAAATATTTTGTGAGGAAAGAGAGTATGTAAATGCAACATTCTGAATGAGAAAAATAATTATAAAGGATAATAAAATAATACCATACACAATCTATGATAACTGAAAATATCCATGAAGTTATTTTTAGGAAAACATAAACTGCAAAAATGACTCAAGAAGACTAAAACCTTAGTATGTCAATGACCATCAACATTATTAGAAAAAGTTATTTAAGAAAGACACACATAAATAGCATCATGTATCAATGCGTTCATGAGAA